TTACAGTATATGTTTTACATTGTGTGTACATGTACAGTTTTGTGTGTGTTTTCAACATGTCAGGAGTGAAACGTAAACACGTTACTCTTTCATTAAATGAAAAATTAGCAGTGCTACAAAGACTGGACAAAGGGAAGATTGTTTATTTTACTTTTTTCTGATAATCCAACCTTTTTTGCGTTCCGACCATACCCCTAGTCCCAAAGGTGACGGATTAAAGGGGTTCTACTGTAGTTAAATAAAAATAAAACATCAGTTATAAAATAAAGCCTTTATTTTATAACTGAATAAAATAAAGGCTTTATTTTATAAAATAAAGCCTTTATTTTATAACTGACATTCTATTTTTATTTAACTGAAGAAGGCTATTTAATATAGCCAAAAACATTAGTTACATTAAAGATATTGCTAGAAAAAAAGAAAGATGTTGTGAAACTTATTATACAAAGTTCTAGTTTACTATGCATAGAACTTGCAAATTAAACAGAATATACAAGAAAATAATTAGTTACAAAATTTTTCAAATTAAAGCAAAATTTATTAACAACACAAAAAACATCACTGTTGTTATGTACTTAGAAAGACTAAAATAAACAGAATATAACTCAGAAACTTTTGTTTTTCTTAAATGAAACTAGAGAATAATATAAATTTAATAATTATAATTATAATTAATATTTATTAAATAATGTAAAAAAATCTGGAAGAAAAGAATCGGTCTGGAGCGGGACTCAAGCATGCAACTACAACATCTGGGCCAATTATCTTCTTCCAGATTTTTGAAACAAAAACTATAATTGGCATATTAGGATTATGTAGAAAATAAAGCTATCACAGTTTTAAAAATCATAAATTTTGAGATGTTTTTTTTTGTTTACTTGTATATGAAAAAATGCTATAGCCAGGTAATACTTTGAAAAATATTAAAACTATAGAAAAGTTTGTTAGAATACTGAATTGTTATAGATATATATTAAGAATATTTTGTAAAAAAACATTACAGTTAAATCATCCCAAAGTCCCAACTAAATTAATAATTATAATTTTAATTAAATAATTTTAGAATAACTGGAAGAAAAGAATCAGCCCAGAGCAGTACTCAAACCTGCATCTCCCAATTGCCATGTGGATGTGTTGCCAATTATGCTACACAGATCTCCGGTCTGATCAGTAATTCAAAATTATTATCGCTGATATTTAACCCAATATTATACAGCAGTTGGTGCAGCTTTATTGCATTATAAAAGAATACTGTTTGTTCCAAATGGATTCAGCTCATCATAGTAATTACTTTTTCTTTTGTATGTTAGCTTTCTATCTCAAAATATGCTTGGGCCTTTTAAAAACATACCTTTTTTTAAAGAACATATTCATTCTCCCTGAGTTCAATATCAGCTGTTTCAGAAATTTACAACT